ACAAAACGGCTGACTCTAATCATCTGGTAGTAAGGACGGATGCCCAGAGAATGGTCTGGAAGATTGCACACCACGCCACCGCCTACCCTCCCACCCCACCCTGCCTCCAGGAACCCGCCAGCAAGCAGCTGGGCAACAAATGTTAAGAGCTTCACAGTATCTGCCCGTGCAGGCTCCTCGCTAGCTTGCCAGCCAACACATGTCTCTTAAAAGGGCCTTGCTCTGTCCCCGTGTGCATAATGTCCAGTTCTTGCCATCCCTTTCCCTTTTCTGTCACTTTTGGCTTAGTTTGCACTTCTTATGAGGACACCAGAGTCCAGCAGCTTTCCCTATTCTTTTCTAGAGCAGTTGTCAGTGACACCCTGAAGTCCTCTTCCCATGAGTCCACTACTCATAGCATTACCCAATACCACTTACCTGCATGAACTTGATGACTCTGATAGGGCTCACTGTTCATGTGGGCTTCCTTGGGCACAGATCACCAAATCAGTTTCTTACAGAAGACCTTCCCAAAATTCCCAAAGCCCTCCCATAGAGTCCCAGCTCTATATGGCTGTTTGGCAGATGGCATGGCCAGCTTCTGCCCACCCACCTGAATTTATATACAATAATAGCCTTAAGCCATTAACAACTCCATGATGTTGGGCTTGGTGGTGCATACCTTTAATCCCAGCAATTGGAAAACAAAGGCAGGTGGTGGATCTCTGAATTTGAGGTTAGCTTGGTCTAAATAGTGAGTTCCAGGTTAGCCAGGGATACAAAGTGAAACCCTGCCTCAAAAAGACCAAGACCACCCCCCAAAAAAACCCTTTTTAGATACCCTAAAAAGCACTTCTAATTCTGTCTCTGAAGTTATTTGCATATACCCCTGCTATAGCCCTTCTTGACAAGACTGAGCATAAAAAGCTGTGGGGAGCCAGGCAGTGGTGACACACGCCTTTAGTCACAGCACTTGGGATATAGGCAGGTGGATCTCTGTGAGTTCCAGAACAGCCAAGGCTACACAGAGAAACCCTGTTTTGAAACCTCACCCCCCCAAAAAAAAAAGCTGTGGGGGAAGCATCCCAAAACCCATCTAACTCTTCTCTTGGGCACATCTTGAGCTTGCTGGAGTTCCATACCTCTGAACTTTTCTAACTTCCCACTGCCTGAGGAAGAGCCACGGGTAGCAAGTTGGCCTTTCTTGTTTCTCCAGCTGAAAGCATACTTATAAAGCAATAGCTTTCTTCTAACTACAGTTTCTCCAACAGACCCTCTTGTCTATCAATCCTAACTGGAAAGGGTTCCCTCTCACTAGCCTGTCCTGTAAGAAACTTGTGTCCAGAAAAGTCTACACAAGGCACATGGCTGGCTCCTACAGTGGTCTCTTCTCTGAAACCACAGCCATTTTGGCCGCTCTTAAGATGAGGTCAAACTAGGTGTGGTAGTGCATGGTTGTAATCCCAGCCCTCCATAGGCAGAGGCAGGAAGATCACTGAAAGTTCAAGGTCAGTTTGGTTTACTATGCATAATAGTTCCAGGCCAGCCAAAGTTACATAGTGAGACCTTGTTATTAATAAAACAAAGCTGGGCATGGTGGCTCACACCTGTAATTCCATCACTTGTGAGGCTGAGGCAGATCATCCTATACACTCGGTTCCACTCCAGCCTGGACTAGAAGTTGGACCTTACCAAAGAAACAAAACAACCCAAGAGGCCAACCATATTCTGAGTCTCCAGTAGTTTCTCATGGGTCAGTCATTATTGAGATGCACTAACTCCACTATTCAAAATTATTGTGTGCATATACTAAGCTCTAGGGGAAGGGATTTGGTTCTTTTTAATGTACTAGGAACTATCAGTATCTGGTATAGCAGATGTTCCATGTCTACATGTTGAATCTTCAACCCTTTCGTTTAACATTTGAAGCCAGGACTTCAAGGAAGCTTTTAGTAGATGTGTCCACGATTTCATGTGACACACCATTATCCTCTCCTCAAGCTCAGATCAGCCTAAGGAGGGCAGATATAATGAGTGGGCAGCTACAGAAGTTCATATTCTTACATGAAGCCAATGACACAAGGGATCATTTTGGGCAGTTCCTCAGCATGCCCTAGCCTGGTCAGGAAGGCAGGTTAGCTGCTCACAGAAGTCATGCAGAAAGTCTCAGCTGCTACTGGCCACAGAAATCAGAGTTGATGAGAAAGCTGTTAAAAAAGCATTGTGGCACACTAGGACCTAGTTGCTGCCCCTGTCACACTGGTCAGGAGAGGGAAGTTGTGCTCTAGGCACACTTGTCTCAGGCCTTCTTGTCACATGCTGGTGCAGTGTGCCTGGAAAGCAATGACACAGAGCAAACTGAGGAGGATGCCAGGGAGGCCAGCATATGAGACAGGCCTTCCAACCCTCCCACACCACTCCTGAGGGAGGCTATTGGGGTTCAGGGACAGCTGGATCAAACACACCATCATGCTGTCAGGTAAGCTGGAGGGGACTGCTGACTTATAATGAAAGCACAGACCTTGAGTCACTTTCACAGAGAGATTTATCGAGAATGCTAACAGCACAGGATACAGTACTTCCCAACAAAAGGTGCAAACGCATCACTTAGAAAGGCATGCTGAGTATTCTTTGCTTTCACATGTATTAAAAAACTTACAAAAATAAAATAAAACCACGTGCTGCCCATCTTTTCAAATAGTAAAAGAACCTTATGAAAAACCACTTGATTTTACAACAAAAGACACAAACGGACATTTTTATGTAAATTTATAAGGCAAACTCTTTATATAATAAATAGGTTACAGGGGGATCAGTGGGGGTGTTTTTGAAACGTATACAGGTACATTCAGACAGGTTTACTGAAATGGTACAAATTTCCTTAATAAATTGCCTTTTGTTTTTAAATATATCAGTGCTTTCAGTCATTTGGCTATACACAAAGAACCTTTTTTTTGAACACTACAAAAAAGCAATCAATATTTTGTTTTTAAAACGACCTACTTATTTTCTAAAGTAATTGTCCCAAAACACAGAAACCGAAGGTGAATTCAACAGAGGGCTTTTCAAGACCAACCCCTCCAGCTATGTCTGTCCTGGATCTCTCTCTCTGTGCCTGCTTCCCAACCTCAGATGGGCTTTTTTGCTGGTGCCAATATTTTCCAATACAGGTAGCCTGTTACTGGCTGCACTCTCCTATAGATCTTGCCCTTCAGGCTGGCAGAGGGAAGCACAACATGGATTTAGGAGGGGGCATGTACCCTGTTTGGTTTTTTCAGCTACTAAATGCCATGGTGAACTGGTCACAACAGGTAGCACTACCCTTGCAAGAGGCTCTAAGGGAGTACAGGTCTGTCTGTTCCCCTTATATGAGCCTGGAACAATCTGTAATGAGAGTAACAGCTTTACTGAAGATGTTTGCCATGGAAAGAGAAGGTGGTTTTTCACACCCAGATTTTGTTGGGAATCAGATGACATCAAAAGAGAGAACCCCCTACCATCATTTTATTCCCCAGGCATGGTAGGGAGCCAAAATAGCAGATTAGTACTATGTACTATGGGATAGCATGGTATGTGACAGAAGTGTCCTATCTGGTCATGTCCCTGAAACATGCCTTGGAGACAATAATGCCCACTGCCTTGGCTTATTCAGGAAGAGCTATCTCAGGCAGGGAGTGTCTAATTCATTTTATGCCTCCTCTCTAGTCTGTGTCCTCAGTGGGGCATCCTCCTGCAGGATCAGTCCCAGCCTTTCCCTACTCAGTGAGCTCAGCTCTGCTCTTACATCTCCTCCTCTCCTGGCACCC